TGCTCGTGACTGGCTTGTGGCTGGCCACCTAGTCCGAGGGCGGCAAAGACGGTGTTTCCTAAAGTGTTACAAGTCAAAGATGGTGATCGACCGTATGTTTGAGGTGAGAATTTTCAAGAGGCAACATACCGGTTTGCATGTTGACGAAACAATTCCACGTGTTGAATGCCACACTGTCAATGAGCCCTGAGATGAGGAAGCAGATGACGAGAACCACGCTCATGTACGAGGAATCAAGGTCCTGGGAGAGATATCTTTGCGAGGCATCTGCCGTTCTTGTCAACCTGTCCATGCAACCCATTCTGCTTCCCGCACTTTTTTTTTCAGATGGCGTGCTGATGTCTCTGGAGGGAATTCCCGTGTTGAACTGAAGGATGGGTTGAGATTCTTTTATCGTCTTCTCAGAAAGCAGATTCGCCTCGTCAAGACCATATTATACGCAACAATCAAAGCGCCAAGGGCAGTTTCGTTGCTCGATGTCGGATGGGACTTGCAGTGTAACAAACGGCTCGGAAGAACGGGTTTGATCTCTTGTATCCGGGAGGAATGAGGAGGGGGCGTGGTGCAGTATAGGAGACGGTGTCGTACTGCCAAGATGCAGGTAGGGGGGACACTTCAGGCGGCCCCTACAGTTCAATCCAAGAGTATGGTCGCAGTGGTGTCGCAGTGATGATGCGGGAGATGGGCCATGCCTTTGTTCGCAACGCACATGCCAGTGGCCGCGAGTCGTTTGGAGGTGAGTGAGTGAGTGAGCCACTCTTCTTCATTTCCGATCGACTGACAGACACAGAAGAAGACTGACCACTTTACAACTCTCAGATGGCTATGAGGTTCAGGCAAGGCTGTGTGTTTGAACCATCCAATTCTCCGGCTCTCTCACACTTCAATGGCCATTGCCACCGCTCGATCCCGACCTCCGTCTCGTCCGCCCATGTGGTTGCAAGTTGGACAATCGTCGGTGGAAAGAGATGGAGTTACAACGTTGTATCACCCCTCTGCGAGATGGCGCGTCCTGGTCTTGGTTCGATGCAGCAATCCGTGCCATTCTTTTCCACAAACGAATTCTCAGCTTCCAGCAAACGGTGGCGAAGAGCCAGACTCTCCAGAAGTTGTTAGGGAAAGAGATTAGAAGGGAAAGCGAGACTCTGCCGACTAAGAAACATGCGAGACATTTGCCCTTGTATACCACGCGAGGCTTTCTCACGGAGAGTGTCTCAGGACTCGTCGTCTACTGTGCTAGATGCCGTGCTTGACCAGGTTTCTCTTGCTGCTGCCTGTAGGGTTCTTTACACATGGGAAGCTCAATAACACTGATACACAAAAAGCATAACTGACCGCCACACTCTGCTCGAGGGGAGCATATCAACTTTGGCGCACTAAAAACACCACAAGAAGCCAAGGTCATCGCGTCTTGACGCTGACGAATTAGAATCTGAGGGTCGGGTTTCAAAAATTCAGCAGTGCTATGTCAATGGACAACTGCGGTCTATCTGTGTTGATTGGTCATTTTGTCGACCTTTGAAAGCTATCAAAATTGCAATGACAACCGCTTGTGGAAGATAAACCCCCTTCTTCCAAAAATCTTCCGAGTTGGCCGCTTGCGCGAGTCACTGCCACATGTCAACAACAGATGAATTAGGTCTTCACATCCGGTTCGGTTCTGCCAATGAATTTCTGGAGTTGCAGCAGGTCAATGGCAAGTCCGACCGAGCCCTTGAGATAGTCCTGTGTGTCCTCGCCAAGCTTGCTCTTGTCCTCCTCGAGTTTCTCGACGTAGAGGCGGATGGTGGCACCGCTGCTGCCCGTACCCGATAATCGAACAACGACTCTTGTGCCGTCGTCGAATTTGAAATAGATACCTTGGTTCTTCGACACCGAACCGTCGAGATCTGTGTATGAGAAATCGTCGGCTTCCAGGATCTTGCGGCCTGAGACCTCTGAACCGACCGTGTCGGACTTTCCGATCTTTTCTTTGAGATACTTCACCATGTCGTTGGCCCCGTCACTGCTCACATTCTCGTAGTCGTACCGAGTAAAATACACGCGGCCATATTCATGCCAGAACTGCTTTTGGATCTCTGCAATAGATGGGAACTTGCCAGTATCTTTCCCCACCCCAGCAATGATGTTGAGCCAAGCAGTGATGGCCCACAAGCCGTCCTTTTCTCGAATGTGGTTTGAGCCAGTTCCGAAGGACTCTTCACCGCAAATTGACATCTTATTGGTATCGAAGAGGGCGCAGAAAAACTTCCACCCAGTGGGGACGACATAGAGGCTCAAATTCTGCTTCTTGGCCACAAGATCAAGCGCTGCCGATGTGGGGAACGATCTCGCCAGACCATAAACACCCTGCTTCTTGAAATAAGGGATATACTTCTGAGCATAGTGGGCGATAATGGCCAAGGAGTCTCCGGGCGAGACGAAAGCATTCTTGCCATAAATCATGTTTCTATCGCCGTCCCCATCCGAAGCAGCGCCAAAGTGGATGCCCTCCTTGTCAACTCTTTCGACCAGAGAATGGGCGTACGTCAGGTTGGGATCTGGATGACCGCCGTTAAAGTCGGGGCTGGGTTGGCAATTCTGAGTGCTTTCAGGTCCCAGGCCGAGCTCCCCTTGGAATATGGCCACCCCATAAGGACCAGTGACCCCGGAGAGACCATCGAAGAGAACTTTGAAGTCGGGTTGAGACTTGAAGAAGGATCGGATGAGGTCAAAGTCGAAAATGTCCTTTAGCATGGCCATGTAGTCCGCTACAGAGTCAATAATCTCAACTTCGAGATCGCCATATTTCTTGGTGCCAATCGTCGACAGATCCACTTCTGGGATGTCTGCTATTTTATATGAGGTAAGGGACTTTGACTTCTCGAAGATCTTGTTTGTCACGGATTCGGGGGCTGGGGCACCGTTGGAGAGGTTGTACTTCATGCCGAAGTCTTGTGTGGGACCTGCGGCACTGTTAGACGTGGTTTTGGCACTACCCGACATGTCTTGACTTACCACCTGGATTGTGACTGGCGGTGAGAAGGATACCACCCGTGGCCTTTCTGATGCGAATGATATGGCTGGCGGCGGGAGTACTGAGGATACCATTCTGACCGATCAGAAGCTTCTTTACACCGTATGCAGCACCAATCTTTGCAATCAGCTGGACCACTTCGGGATTCCAGTATCGACCATCTCCACCAATGACGAGAAAGGCACCGTCTGCGCCTTCAGGAATGGACAGGAGGATCGAGGTGACGAAGGATTCGCTGTAATGTGGCTGTTGGAAGACGGTGACCTTCTTGCGAAGTCCTGAGGTACCGGGCCTGCGGACAGAAGAGTTAGAAGACAGTCGTCACCGATGAGGTTTTGGTCTTGAGCTTACTTCTGGTCGGTGAAGGATTTAAACTGGACTTCTTTCACGTTTCCCATGGTGAAATGCTTGACAGCTTGTAAGATTGAAGGGGAAGGGTAGGGCTTTGAGATTTGGTGAACAGTTAGAAAAAATATAACAGGAAGGAAACTTGGTGAAACTCAGCCAGCTGGCCGGGAGAAAATTCTGTTGAATTGTAGATCCCTTCAACCGCAACCGCTGGAAGATGAAGCCACGAGGAAATGATCGCGGGGCAATAATTTCCTAGCAAATCCGCCATTCACGAAACACTTGCATGCGATACGTCATCGCTATTCCTTGCCCTTTGGGGCCACCAGGACCATCATTATTTCTCCGATCAGTCAACCAGGGCCGATGATTGGTTGGCCGATGCTGCAGGTCGACATCCTCACACCACTCTCGACTTTGTTGATGTACAGTTCGCACCACACCTTACACCCTTCTTGTAGATGTGCGCACAGTCAAGGCTGGCTTGGTAAGCTAATTGAGAACCAGGGGGGAGGTGAGTGACCCAAAAAGTATTGTGGCCAGATAGAGTAGGAGCTAGGGCAAACGGTAACGGTCGATGAGTCTCACCCACCTCTGAGAAAACCAAAAGCGGATTACAAGCATGGTCATGGGTTTCATTGGACACCGGGGACGGATGCTTCAGTTTTCTTGCCAAAATGTAAGTTTCCTGGTTTTGCACGTTTGAAAAGTATGCTCAAAGGCGACATCCAGTGGAGACGAGTTCATGACTCTGCTTCACAGCCGTTAACATATATCGGCATTTAGACTTCAGACATCCAGAGGTATCATTTCTCTGTCATAGATGTTCTAGTTTCTTTAGGGGTGTGCAAATAGCTGTGTAAACGTGAAAGAGACCAAGAATAGGAGTGCTAGATTGATACCAGAGGCGCAGTGTGATCTGCTTCAGTGTCCAAAGACGTGGCCACTCAACAAGCATTGCAAGCCTATCGAAAGAGAGCAGGCAAAAGCTGTGTCTGAAGCCTGTTATGGAATCAGTCATATTATTGGACGGCTTCTGTTTTCTCCTCCTGGTATAGTTGTGACTGTCGCGAGAGGTTCAACGGATACAGCCTCGTCTCTCCGCAGCTTGATCAGGCTGGGTCTATCCGGATAAGGCTTAGTGACATCTTGGCATTTCTGCCTCGTCAAAGAAGTCACTGCAGTTGACGGAGCCTCTATGAACTCGGTCCAAGAGTAAATTAAGTTGGACAATTCTCTCTTCATCCACGTTGTCAATCTGGACATTTTCATTACTTCCGTCCAAAACTCCTTGTTCCTCTTTGTTCAAAATAACCCCGCCACTCATTTGAGGACCGTCCCCCTCCATCGCGTGCGCCATTCCCCCGATAGCTCACCGTTCCTTGCCGAGTTTGCGGAGCAGGCAGTCCCTCCTATTCCCCGGCTCGCTAAATGCACATGAATTCTCATCTGGCGGTGGAGTTGACGCTTTGGTAACTGTAGAATCTCCATTTCGGGAAAAGTTGGATTCAAGATTCACACGGCGCGGGTTGTTGCCTCACGAATCATCTCGGAGATTTGTTCTCCGCCATCTCTGCGAGCAGAGAGCGGAGAATCAACTTTCCCTTAAGGGCTTTTCAAATTTCTGACAGCCACCATGCCCTGCTTCAAAGGTCTTGCTGTGAGCATACACACTCCCACAGGGCCTTTGCCAGAATACTCTGTACAGAGAACCTCTCGTCTCTCAAGAATCAGCGCTTACATCCCCGTGCCACCTGCACAAATCCCTGCCGACTCTCTGACGGGAAAACCCGAGCAATCGACCTTTGCTATCTCTATCACCCTCCTCACCCCTGGTCAGGAAGTACCTTACTCCACCCCTAAGGCAACACCAGATGTTCCGAATCCCAAACCCAAACTTGTCGGGGGCCTTCCAGGTCACACAAGTGAACGAGGAAAATACACTAGTTCAGTTGGGCCTTATGTCCCCTTGACAACCTCCCCTAACGAAACTATTGCCGCCTACATTTACTTTGATGGCCGAGCCAAAGAGGAGGTTGCAACACTACTCAGAAAGGGAGAGGAGACGTGGGTGAATTCCCGATGGGTCAGTGTTCCTGAGAAAGAGGGAGGTGGTCTAGCAGAACGCGAGTTTTTATTCCGTGAAGTCGGTCTCGAGCGCTGGTTGAATGGTCTGGACCTCGATGGAAAGGACGCCGCAGCAACAATTGAGAGACGCAGACAGAAACTGGAGAGAAGACGACGAAAGCGGAAGGAAACCACCGGGAGCGATGATGACACCAATGGACTCTCAAAGAAGGACAAAAGAAAGAACACCATGCGCTATGGCGAAGATGGAGAATTGAAGGACGTTTCCGATGACGAGGGCTCCGTAAGCGAGAGCGGTTCCTCAGAAGACGATGATGACCCGATACCAGAAGCAGCTGGGCAGATCAAGGTTGCCTTGTTCCGAGTGTTGGCTTCTGGAGAGATCAAACGCGGAGAATATTCACCTCAATTCGATGCCCACGATGACTCAGAAGGCTCAGACGTCGGAGAAGGCGCTGGTAATGGTGAAGGCAAGAACCGAGCTGATGTCGACCACACTACCAGCTTTGCCAAACCCAAAACCCTGGACCCCAAAACCATCTCAACACAGACGGTGACTGGTATTGACCCTACCGATAAACCATATGCTGTCTTCACATTCCTTTATCGGGGAGAACGCCAGTTACAGAAGATGGGTATCCTTTCTGGACCCAAGACCGATAAGGCGGCGGTCAGCACCAAGAGACGTAGCATAGCGGCGGAGCTTCCCAAACTTGGGCCCCTGAAGAAAGAAGGTTCTGCCGGCTTTTCAACCTTCCGCGACTCGGAACGTCGGCGGAGTCGAAAGGGTAAAGGAACAAGCGATGATGAGATGGAAAGCGAGAGCGACGATGACGGTGCTGGCATCATTGGCAAGATGGAGGACATCAATGATGCAGATGCAAAGAGAGATCCGAGCATGCTGAGTCCAGAAGATGCTGAGCGGACAGGTCAGGTTGCAGAGGGCATCCGTAAAATGAAGGTAAGAGACCCTTCGCCGTTGAAAATCCGGCATGGGCTAAGGTATCATCAGCTCAAGCGACAGCATTCGGCGGAACCGCTGAATAGCAACGGCATAACAGAACCTCGCAAGAGCTCGAAATCTGGTAGCACTTCGGGTAATTCGACACCCAAAGCTGGCGCTGTTGAGCTTGGTACGTCACCTGCAGGCACGAATACGGGGTCCATGGGTTTGAGCAGCAGCCTGGACGTTCAAAAGGACGATGAGAGTTTCATGGTCGGCAGTCCGATGAAGCGACATCGGGCTAGCATTGCGGACTTTGACGATGACATCAAAAGCCGATTAGGGGGTAGCACGTCCACGTTTTCGAACGCTATCGGCGAGGTTCTTGGGGCTTTGGGACCATCTCAACCGACTGCGACTAGTTCAACTGCTTCTGGCCTGCAGTTTGGAGGGCCGTTGGTCAAAGAGTCGACAGCTGGCGACGATGAAGAGCTCTGAAAGGCCTTCCACAAGCCCACAAACTCTATGCCGCGAGTTGACCATGGACCCAGAATTTCGTCCACGGCTTCTGAAGACTTTTATCGACAGACGTGTGTGGATATTTCAGAAATACTGCCTGTCAGTACTATGCCACGCGCTGAGCATACAGGAAATGAGAGCCGCGTACGGCGGCTTCTGTCAGCAGTCGAGTTGGAAATTCGACTCTTCCACTTTCTTTTGTCAAGACCGCAGAATTTGGAGTCAGGATGATAAGATGGAGAGTGAAGATACACGCAAGCAAGGGCTGGCCGTCGAATATTTTGATTAATTGTGCGAAACAAATGCCTGCAGCACGAGCCTGTACTTGGAGAATGCGATGCAGGACGTGATCGCAGAACAGATCCCTCCGAGAGGCTGCAGGCATGGAGGGCATGGGTCAGGGAAAGGGTGCAGAGGCTTGTAAACAGTCTCCAAGGGTGCTTAGGCCAGAGAGGGATCAACAGGCCAAGGGAGCGGGGAAAAGGCATGAGCGTGGACGTGGACGTGGACGCATGACTGCCGAGTCAACCCGCGGTGGTAATTGTACCAATTTCCCAGGCATTGACGAGTGTCCTTTTCGTGTTCGATCAAAAAGATAAACCTCATACAGGCACAACCCAAAAAGCTTGGAGCTGCCAGCCAGCAAACCAGGCCGGAGGTCCAATGACATTATCAAATTGTAAAAGCTCCTATTGATCGCAAGCTGATCTGGCTGTCCATGGTCCTGTAGTTCCCGGCAGCCCTGGCATAGCGTTATAGACGTAGTTTGTTGATATGTGAGGGGTAAAGGGGGGCCTGTGTGGGTGGAGGGTGGAGTTCCACTCCGGGCTCCTTCCGATTCCGCTGCAATTTCATTGGTCGGGAATCTTGTGGGCCTTGGCTCCGAACAGTATTGGACTTAGGGTACATATCGTCATCATCTCTCGCGTTGTACCGTCCTTTCTTTGCCTTCGTCACAGATTCTCTCTCATAGAAACGTCGCCGCACTAGTGGCGAAGGGTAACAGATGATCAGATAATCGTCATTACCCTTTCCCCAGGGCTCAATCACCCATTGGATGAGGTTCGGTTAGTTCCTCGTGGGCGACGTTCCTCCATTCCTCCACGTCTTTCTTCGACGCAATGTTGTCGAGCAGCTCATTTTAATTCATGCGAGGCCTGTCAAGTCAGTTTGCCACCCAATTGCCAAGTGGGTATATGGGTCCAGAGCCTTTGTTCCAGACAGTTGTCGTTGACAGGCCGAGACTGGAGTGAAAAATATATGTTGAGAGGTTGGTAGACACAACCCTCGAGCTACAACCGAAAAACTTATCAAGGAAGCACCAGCTATGGCACTCACCCGATCTACCGATCCGCTGGTCTGGATCGACTGCGAGGTAGGTGTACACACCGAGTGAACCCCTTACTGGCCCTTTTCCAGCAACACAAAAGAATCACCTCTGTTTACCTGTTACAACTATCATTGCTGAAATCCCCCCACAAGGGGGTGGAGCTTCCAATGAAGCCTCACACGTACATCTATCTCCGACCGTGCCTCGTTGATTCGCAATATGTTTACCGCGTCTTTTGGCCCATCTACCCCTATCCAGCTTCATCTATCGCCATTGCTTCTGTGCCGCGCTGACCGAATACTGGCTCCCAGATGACGGGTCTCAACCCCGCCAAAGATACAATCATGTCCATAGCGTGCATCATCACTACCGCCGACCTCGCTCCGCTGGACACAGAAGGCTTCGATGCTGTGATATTCCACACCCCGGAACAGCTCTCGAGGATGTCTGAGTGGTGCGTCAAGACGCATGGCGAGTCCGGTCTCACACAGGCATGCCTGGTTTCGTCGACCAGTGCTGAAGAAGCTGCCACCAAACTTCTCGCATACATTAAACATTACATTCCCGAACCAGGCCGAGCTCTTCTGGCAGGAAACAGTATCCACGCCGACCGTGCTTTCTTGGCTATTCCACCTTGGAACGTCATTCTGGAACACCTCCATTACCGACTGTTTGATGTCTCGGCCATGAAGGAGATGGTACGACGCTGGGCGAGTGATTCAGTGCTGATGGCGGCACCAAGGAAAGAACTCAAACATACCGCCCGAGCAGATGTGTTGGAGAGCATCCAGGAGGCGCAGTATTACAAGCGCTTCATCGAGGGAATGAGTCTGGGCATACCCGGTGAGTACTAATCTGTATCCCCAGCCTTATCTTCCCTTCCTTCTCGCTTCCCTTTCTTCTACTTCAAGCAGGAAGCAGCCATTGGCAGGCCACCTCCATCGGTCGACGACTGTCCATAAGAAATGACTAACAGAATTCCGTCTTCCCTCAGTACCTGCAACGTCGATGCCGATCCAACCAGGGTCACAACCGCTGATGCCCGCTCCCGGAACAAAGCAGGGCCAAGAAGCTCTCGATATGCTCCGCAACAGCGGCACAGCCATAGGCGACGTTGGAAATCTTGACCCAGGCTTCAGGACCGATGTACCATGATCGGCAAACGAAAAGTCCTGTTTGATATTCCCGTCCTTTTTCCGCGAATATCGGCCATTCCAAAGTTTCTTGTACAAACATTCCACGGGAGTAAACTACATACATACGTCTTGAAAGATGAGGATTGAACACAATCTCGATCTGTTTTCCTTTTTTTTCTTTGGGCCTTTGGTAGGGCATTTTGGGGGAAGATGTGTGCTTTTCTACCTACCGTCATCGTTGGTTATCCTAATGGGTGCTGATGGGTGCTCGTCGAGGACCGCGTTGATGGTCCATGGTAGTGGCTACCCACGCTTACTACATCTTGCTCTGTCAGACACTCTTATCACACTTACCTACCTACACGCCTTTCCCACACCAGCATCGATACCTACCTGTTGGCCTCTCAGCGTGATCACGCCCGGTGATGCTCCACCGATGGTACCAACTCAATTGATACTTCGCTCATAGCCCTCTTCCAGGATCCCCTGTTTCCGCCCCAACTACATGCACTTCAGTTGTTCCAAATTACGCCCGTTGCATGTTGACTGCTCACTATCAGTGGTTTTCCAGCCGTGCGTCCAGGGTTCTGACAAATATGAAGCATGGCATGCGGATCCTGCCCCCCGTTCCGGATGGAGAAATGACGGATATCTGTGATGGAGAGGGCAAATATGGTAGGAATGTATATTGCTCGGTGGAAGCTGCTGATACCAGGAAACACTCTCTATCGTCAATCCTCTGTCATATTATCTGCGACTAAGCTTGGGCCAGAGAGATACCTACCTCTACCCTCCCAGCTCTCCCTTCGCGGATCCCGCCTCCACCATCTGCTCTGTCGTGGCCTTCAGCTCGGTCCATCACTACGAAAAGGTCAGTGAGTTAGTCTAGGATTGTTCGAACTCCTCCCTCCTAGGACTACCAAGACTGACGGACTCCGGCGGCATAAGCACGTCGCCAACCCCCCTCTTCTCTTCAGTTCGTGGCAGGGCTATGCATGCAATTAGATTTCAGCGTAAGTAGCCCCTTGCCACTATTTTCTCAGGAGAATTCGCGGTATTCCAACCAGCTCGACAGATCCACAACACTCTCGTGGTGGACAAAAACCATCGCTCGCCCGATGCTGCTCAAGCTTCTAGCAATATCGTTCGCTGCGCACTGGCGGCACTTACAGTTTCGTTCCTGCAGGATTTGGTGGACGCCATAGGCATTGGAAGGACATTTACATTCATGGGAGCTTTGTGTGTGTGGTCGCCGTTGGTCTTTTCATCGCTGATTGCCGTTAGGGCCCATCGTGGAGGCAAAGACACTTGATGCCCACAGCCGCAAGGGAAGGATAGCATAGGACTGCACGTAGGTGCTCCAACCCCTTCTTGATTCATGCACTCTCAGAAGTTAACATGTCCAGCTGCCCTTGGATTAAACTTCCTGGGCGTTGTTCGTGACAGATGAAACAAGTATTCGAACCGGTAATTGGGTCTGGCTGGCTTTGAGCCATGGTGTCAAGGACTCAAGGACCAATCCAGGATGCAAATTCCACTTGCCCCTAGCTTTGAGAGACAAGATTCGATTCTGAGGCATGTGTACCTCAGCGACTTCCACCACATGGACCTCTCCACAGCCCCCGGATCCGGTCGAGTTTGCATCTCAAATAGCAGAAATGCATCAAAATGGTACATCCCCGAATGGAATGTTCGGGTTCAATGTTCCCACAGTCAATGGGATCATGGAAACGTACTGTCACCTGGGAACGGGGCTGGGCAAAATCCTTCACTCACCAGCTCAAGGATGTCATTAGATATGACAGACGGAGCATAAACCCCGAGGTATCATGTCAAGAACAATTCAAGAACACGTACAAGAACCAGCACAAGAACAGGTAAAAAAGGACAAGAACCTCGCTTCCCAAGGACAGGAACAGGAACAGGGACAAGGATATGGACGCCCCCTGCCCACGCCTGTGCGACCTAAATACCTACATAATTATACATCGTGATGCTCAACCGGTGCATGTTGTGGACTGTGCCGTCCCCCGCACCCCATTTCCGATTACCCCCTGGAGTGGCGCCGCCTGGTTCCTCGTAGAACGGATGGAAACATTTTGCTCGTAATACGATGATAACTCCCTTCCCTCTGGTGTGTGTGTGTGTGTCTTGAGCTCCATGACACATGACACTTTATAGGTGGCCCTCCTGCGTCGATTACCTCCCTGAGGTCTCTGCCCTGGCAAGCCGATACCTCACCGCCTCCCTAACAACTTCGCCGCCCCATACGCTGTCCTCTCCACCCTTGGAGAACTCCATGCCAGCCACATCCCCTCGCTCTTGCTCCGCAAGCAGCACGCTGAGGTCTTTCTTCTGACTGCTGAGCCACCTCTCGATGAATTTCTGCGGATCCTTTGCCATGCTCGTGAAGAACTGGTGCCGTGCCTTGTGGTGATGCAGCGCTTGTACCACGATGGCGAGTTCGTCGTCCAACTTGGCAATCGAGCGGAGTGTATTCTGGTGTTCTGGGTTTTGGGTGAGTTTGAAAATCAATGGGCGGAGAGGGTCTTCAACCGCGACCTGGACATCGTAAACCGTGGGTTCGGGATTCTTATGAAATTCCTCGTCCACGCGGATGGTATAGGGTAGTCGCACAGGCGGCAAGGGGTGTAGGTGTGGGACTAGCCGTTCAGCCGCCTGAGGGAAGAAGAACGTGTCGGTATCAAAGATACGTTTGAGTGAGTCGTCGCATTGAATACTCCGGCGTTCTTCATCTTCTTGCAAGCCCATGGCGCGCACATAGTCCCAGATACCCATGACGACTTCGGCACGCTCCGCCTCTTCCATATCCAGAGTTTCAGCCAGAGCCTTGGAAAGGCGAAATCGTTCGGGCTGTTCGTCGCGTGTTAGGCAGATTGTGATGTTGACGTTTTCGTCGGATCTCCGCTCGAACTCGATGCTGTCATATTCGCCAGATTGAGCGCTGTTTTGACCCTTCTTCCACGTTATCATCTGATTGTTATCGCCCAGGCTGTCTTTCGGGTTTTCGAACTCGACCGTCATCCCCTTGAAGAATTGTGTGAATTTCTTGGAAGGCGGTCTGATCTTCTTCTCTTTGGTTTGGTCTTGACCTCCCATCTCTTCATCTTCGCCGTCACTGTGTAAGATGTCATCGTCGTCATACTCCAGTAACCTCCCTTGAATCTTGACTCTATAAGAAGGCTCGCCGTTGGAGTCGAATGTGAAGCCTTCCTCATCCGGATTCAGTTGCCAAGGTTGGCTTGACACCGTATTAGAGATCCATATCCGCATTGTCTTCTGCCTCTTGACATTTTTGTTAAAATTGTCATGAATTTCCAATTTCTTCCGTGCCATCAGATGGTCTAGCTGTTTCTCCGCCTCGCGCAGTTTCTTATACTGCTCGACGCCATCTCCAATAACAATCTCTTCTAGCCCATCCGGCATGTTTCGGTCGGTAGGTTTTCGCACACGTCGCTGTGCCAATTGGTGTTCAATCGCAGCATTGCGCTGTTGGGCTTGTTGTTGCATCATCTGAGCTTGCGCCTGCTGAGCAGCATGTTGGACAGGAGGAATCTGACCTAGGGCCTGTAAGTGAAAGATCTCTTGTTGTTGGGCGAGAAAAGCAGATAAGAGAGCCATCTGTCCAGTGTCCACCAAATGACGGGGTTGGGGCAGGAGAGCCATAAAGTGTTGTCCGTCATGATTGTCCTTTTCCTTCAAGGAATTCTTGGGACCTCCACCAATATCTGGGTGTACAAGTATCCTGGTGCTCGGGTCGCACTCACCTGGCCTACGCGCCGCTGGGGATCTTCCTTGTGCCTGGGCATATTGTCGATAATTCTGCATCTGGGGATTCATCTTGTTGTCGGCGTTGTTGTCGCTTCGAAATCCTTGATCGTTCGGAGGGAAGGAAGGGGATATCGGCGTCGCGACTACGATCTGCGCATGAGCTTGGTGGCTGGAGCGTGTCGATAAGTTCAGCTAAGCGTTGGTGATCGAGTGGGATGGCTGAAGGAGAGAGAGCCTTGCCCGCAATGATCGCGACATTCGCAGAACGCGATTCAAATGCGTCTGGGCTAATCCTAATCGGGCACAAATTCTCTTGGCATCATATGAGCCAGTCTGCAAAACAAGGCTGTCATGACTCCTCAACTTCTGTCTAAAACCATATGGTATGGGTGTCGGGTCTTTATCCCGAGCTTAAAACTTGGGCTGTATTGAGTTACTTCGGGCGTATTGTCAAGACCAAGCGAAGGAAGTGTGGGAGTGCGGAAGTCACGAGTTGACATCAGACCGCTGGCAGAGAGGCCACCACAGTCATTGTGAATACTGGTCCAGCAACATGGGAAAGCCAAGGTTGATCATCATTATCAGACATGCTCAATCCGAAGGGAACCGTGACAAAGCTATCCACCAGACGACGCCAGACCACAAAGTCGGATTGACGGAAGAAGGGCATCGCCAAGCGCTTGCAGCAGGAGAGAAGCTTCGTGCTCTCCTCCGAACCGATGATACACTACACTTCTTCATTTCTCCATACAGGAGGACCAGGGAGACAACAGAAGGTATTCTGAAGAGCCTGTGTTCGAATGAACCTGCGCCTTCACCATTCCAGCGACACCACATCAAGGTATATGAGGAACCAAGGCTGAGGGAGCAAGACTTTGGCAATTTTCAGCCAGACACTGAAGAAGTTGAAAGACTGTGGCGAGAGCGTGCACAATATGGTCACTTCTTTTATCGCATTCCTAATGGAGAAAGTGGAGCAGACGTCTATGACCGCGTATCATCCTTCAATGGTTCGCTCTGGAGACGGTTTTCTGAAGACACAATGGCCAGTGTGGCTGTTCTTGTCACGCACGGTCTCTGCAGTCGCGTATTTCTGATGGCTTGGTATCACTACAGTGTGGAGTTTTTTGAGGATCTCCGAAACATCAACCACTGCGAATTTTTGGTGATGAAGTTGGGCGCAAATGGGAGGTATGTGCTTCAGAACAGTCTACGGCGATGGTCAGACCTTAGGAGGGAGAAGGCGGCCAGAAAAAACAGCGTCTCTTCTCCATCAACACCCGCAAACGTCGAAAACATACCAGTTAGACGCTGGACGATGTCCAAAAACGCCCATGACCCCACCGGTGCCAGTTACATTCCTACGCCGGTACGCAAAAGTACGATAGACATGTTCAGAGATGAACCGGAAACCGTACAGGAAGGAGGCGAACTCAAGCGTAATCCAAGGGCAACCCCGGCCGAGAGGAGAAACAGTACGAGCAGGGAACAAAGTCGCACAAGAGTGCGGTCTTCCAGCAACCTTCGAACCTCTGTCGCTAATCTATCATTGGATACGGGGAGAAAAAGTGCGAATCTGAGTGGAATAAAATCTTACCTTGGTAGAGACGGTGGCGGGACAAGATCGGGCCAGGGCTCACCCTTCGGATCCGATGATGAGTTGGAAAGCGAGAGTCCCAGAGGAACTACGCAGTCTTTTGGCTCTTTGTCGGGGTCTCATGAGAAAGGCAAGAAGGCGTTTTCTTCGTCACTGGCTCGAGCATTGAGAGGAGAGTTGGACGATCCGAACAGGAAGATGGCAGATGCGCTTGGCGATCAGAGTGATGCAGAGGTGGAGGAAGCGGACCTGGAACTTGGGACACAAGAGCGAGTTTCTGGCGAGCTACAGCAAATCCTAGATGAAGAGAGGCGGGAGCGGAGTCACCGCAGTATATACTAGACAATCATGAGGGTCCACTGGATGAACCCCGGACATTGTTAGTAAGGGTCAGGCGGGAGAATGTGGCGTGTGAATGTCGCTGGGAGATGTTCAGCCTCGCAGCCTCGCAGCCTTGTGGCCTTACGCCAAGACAAACTCCGATTCAGCCAATTGAAACTGGTCGTACCCACGCTCTCCTTCTCTCCGACTGATCCAATATCCCACTTCGATCGAATAGATGGCAACAAGGTGATAGACTTGCATCGTTGTATTCTGAAACAACAAACTCCACAATTCTCCAAGTCTCGAAATCCATGTCAAGATGGCAGATGCCCTTTACGAACTTCTACAACCTCATCTCGTATCGACGTCTCAATCACCATCTTCATCCCCAGAAATCTCTACATATCTGTCCCGCCTCGTCTCCCTCCGTCTCAGCGACTTGACTACAACAGAGCCTCAGTCACTCAGTCAATCAGCACAGTCCAACCTATTCTCGATCCAGGCACTGAGTTCTCGGTCTCACCGAACGACGACTACCTCATCAGACCACCTAAGTATTCTCCGGTCGTCACTCCCGCTTATATCAAGATCCGCCGAATCGATCAAGAATGCGATCCCTGAACTGGATACTCGTGCCGTGAAGTTCGCCTCGACTTATAGCAAGTCCAAAGAGGAAAGCACTACTGGAGGCAGTGGAAATGCCCTCCTTACCACTCGAAAGGAGTCCGCCCTTCTCGCTCGGCAAGCGGACAAAGCTCAGGACATCCTGGAGCTTCCATCTCTACTCTCTGCGGCGATTGCCTCAGCCCATACTACATCGGCGGCATCAACGAATTCGGCATCCTCCGGCACCAGCGGCGCGAATTATACCCAAGCCCTCGATCTTTTCGCCCATATCAAACGTCTTCAGGTTCTCTATCCTGACTCCCAGCTGGTGAAGTCTGTACTCGCCGATGCCCAAAATGCCATGAAGGACATGACAACGAACCTGATTGCTAGTCTTCGGAGCCAGAATCTTCGCCTTGCTGCTGCTATACGGATGATCGGTTGGTTACGACGCGTGGCGCCAGAGCTGTCAACTAGTACAACAATGGGCTTGCCATCAGCAGGTTCTCAGACTAATAAGCACGGCCCATTGGCACCGACACTGACCTCGCAACTTGAACTAGGCACGACTGCATCGTCACACCAGGACGAAGGTCACTTTGGCGCCCTGTTCCTGGTCTCTCGGCTATGCACGTTCCTGAATATGATCGAGGCTCTTTCTCCACTACGCGATCTCGCCGACCAAGAGACATTGGCACGGAAAGAAGCCGCCAGCTCCGGATCAAGTTCCCAGAAGCATCTGACGCCCTCAAGTACAACGCGACCCCTACCAAACCGCAAGTCCTCTTCCGGAGGAGGCTATAATCCCTCTCTGGCTGGCCAACAAACGGAACGCTATCTAAAACGATTCATTGAAATATTTCGCGAACAGTCCTTTGCGACAATAAGCATGTACCGCAACATCTTCCCGGAGGACGAGCAACCACAGGTGCCGCAATCCTTCTCCTCTGCAACTACCCCAGCAGCGTCGCTAGATCTATCCCTCACGCTACCTTCAGCCCTGCAGACATTCCCATTGTACTTGATTGACATATTCATTTCAACGCTCAAACAATACCTTCCGAACGTGACAGACACCACAGCGAGGGAGAGCTTGCTGATGCAGGTGCTCTACGCGGCAAATTCGCTAGGCCGGCTAGGTGCGGACTTCAGCCTCATGATAGCGGAGCTAGATGACCATGAAGACGAAGACGAAGACGTCAACCAGGGCGAGAACGCAGCTGAGGTATCCGCAGAAAGTGTGGCCGAGGATACGAAAGCCACTGTGGACGAAGACGAGGCCACAACACCGAACATCAGGCATGACCTCAGTGGCCAGGCGGGCGCCGAGGACAGAACAACAGCGGCAGCACCGGCGGCGACAGAGACGAGGACGAAATCCCCGCCTGAGCCGGAATGGATATCCGTTATCCGGAAACACCGCGTACAAGCGGCCAGGCTGGAAGCTCTGGCTGCGGGACAAGAAAGAGGCGACCATGTCCAGAGACAGGGTTCTGCGGACGTCGCTGTGCGATAGGTTTAACCCTTGTAGTGTCCTCTGTCGGGCTCTGTCCTTAGCACTATGTATCCCCTCATAACCCGGCCGAGTCTAGAAAGAAAACCCAGCGTATGGGCTATGTTCAGCACGAGACATATGTAAATAACGAAACCAGATCATAATTTTACATCCCGGGGGTCTCTTGTCAGTTCTTTCTTGTTTGGTTCTCTCTCTATCTCTCGCCATTCGTCCCATGTGTAGTTGATGTCGACACAAAGTGGACAATGCAATCAAGCTGGAGCGAGACCTGTTCAATCCTGGAACAATGATTTCGAGGAGACGCGACATGGAGAACGGTAGGGTTTGAATAGGGTTTGAAGAAGAGATGCAGAGCAAGAATGGTAAGTATAAGGTGCCTCCTCACTGTGTCATGGACATTGCCGAATATGTGAGTGTGATCGCGTGAAGTTGGAAAGAATTCACGCAGGCGCCAAGCCTGTCGGCATTGGGCACCCAGGCCTGGAGTTTGTCTACTACTCGTATTAGTAGTGGGCGGTGAGAAGCCCCTCTAGAGCATGCCCATACTTCACGGGAAACCCTGAGTGGTTAACGAGCCGAGCCCACCCAGCATCATCGCGCATGCGTTTGGCGCCGCCGCCATCAAAAAATAATCAGAGAACACAGCCTTCGCGCGACCATTTACATTCTCTCCGTCCCAGTCGGCGCACGATCAAAAGTCCCAATTCTCATCTTCGGGCTTTACACTGAGGTATTAAGGCCTTCTAGCTGTCCTTCATTTCTAGCCTCTTTGTGTTAATCCTCTGTCCCAGATCTCGATCTCCGGTGACAAGAGCGACGCCGCCTCCTCCCCCCCCGCGTGCAGAAGAGGATGAATTGAGGCCACACAGCAGAAGAAGAAGCGAAAAGGGAAAAGCTGACATCCTACCTCGTCCCTTGTACACGCGCACTTGTTACCAAGGGGCGAGTCGGGTCCGCAGACAGACAGACAGGCAGGCAGGCAAGCAAGCCAGGCGCGATGTTCTTTCTACGATATCTCGAGCGCGAAATCAGCATCCATCCATCCTTTTTTGCGGCCAATGTGAACGAGAGGCTTAAAGATCAGCTCTATGCGGATCTAGAAGGGAGCTGCAATGGAGAATATTACATCGTGTGCATAATGGACATCTACAATATCTCTCCTGGAAGAGTGAGGCCAGGTTCTGGGGAAGCGCACTTTACAATCCTCTATCGAGCCATCCTGTGGAAACCTTTCAAGGGAGAGACGGTACGGATATCTGCTATGACTGGGCGAAGAGATCTTTTCTCACAAGTGACAATGAACAGATCGATTGCGCTGTCTCCTCCATAAAGCCCCAAGGTGTCTTCTGTGAAGCTGGCCCGCTTACAGTGTTCGTTTCGAAGCTGGTAGGTCACAATGGTGGTCATTTCGAGCATCAGAGCGTTGACAAGACGGCAGCATCTTCCGCCTGATATGCGACACAATCCTGACGCTACTCCACCGCAATACTCCAACAACGCCGGCGATGTGATCGAGAAAGGCTCGGCCGTGAGGGTCCAGCTGATCGGCTTGCGGAGTGATGTGGGCAATATGTATGCCATTGGGAAGATGTCCTCGCAATGGTTTGGGTAGGCGCGAGCCCTTTTGTCTTTGCGAAGTGGCCACTAACGGGAACAGTGTCGCATGAGAGCTTTGATCACAGCAGGGCAGCATTCTTCTCGCAGAAAGGTCGTCCGCCATGTCAGTGCAATTGGCCCAAACCAACATTCTAGGCTCCAGTCACAGTATTTCTCCCTGTCTAGAGATTGTCCTCGACCAAGTTGAAGTGACACACAGTCATGTTGGACCGCAGCCTGATGGCGAAACGCAGACACTGTGACTTTGGCCGCAGTATTAGGTGGTACACGATGAAAAGCCCTCGATGGGTATTCTGGATATGGGGATTCAAAGATTGGATCAGAAAGTGATTATTACACTGACCGTCGATGAGAAGGCCCAAGGCTCATCACTCAAAGGCCAGGCTTGTGTGGCATAGGGCTCAAACATGGCCCCCAGCCCGGAGTAAAGTTCTGAAACGACGCTAAGGCGGAACACCTGCATGAAGGTCAACTTTAGGTGTTTTGGACGCGATGGCGGGGCAACGCGTCTTCTCATTGAACAACCTCACGCACCTGGCACCGCTAACGAAATGCAACTTTCAGGGACAGGCCATTGCCCATTGACATGTTTGCTTCCTCCCTTTAGACTACCAAGACACCCATAGATTCTGCTGCCTGCGACTCAAATCTGTCGTCGGGTTGGTATTCCACCTTGTAGTCAACAAGCGTCAAATTATCCTTTCCCAATAAAGACGTCGCATAGCTTGCCTTCTCCTTCCACCCTCGTTCGATCTGTTGTTTACCCTTGCGTCGTGGCTCTTTCCACCTGACTATTGCTGCTACATACACAAACAACACAACCCTTGTCGAAAGCATCTCCCACACGTATACCTTGACGATTGAACCCCTTCCTCCTCCTTTGCCAGACGCTCACGACTGCTTCGCGGAGTTACACCTTGAACCCGCAGCGTCGTCCTCAATATGACACTCAAAGACATCTACCAGCGGTTTTTGGAGTTACCCAATCCTATCAGCCTGTCCGAGAATGCCTCCCTCCACTACATCACCACCCTGACTACCTTGACACAGCCTGTCAATATTGTTCGACATCTTGAGACTCAAAACAAAAAGTTAGTCAAGACTAAAAGTGCAAGAATAATTTCGGCGGTGGAGGGACCTAATGCCGTTGCTCTTGAAGTTGAGACAGTGCTGGAGTTCATCTCAGGTGGAGGATCATATTTGCCAGGGCTTGAGAACTTCGTTGTCGACAAGATTGCGACAATTCCGATGGTAAGAGTGCTCCTCTCCGCATGAGTGCGTTTGCAACTGACGGCGGACTTGGCTAGACACATATTGTCCATTTCGATGCCGAACAGAAGATCTCCGTCATCCGCATCTCCTGGGATCAAGCCTCATTGTTGAAACAGACCGAAGTGATTGGTTCGAGAGGCAAGAATTGGCCTGTGGTCGACGGCAAAGACCAGGTCAGACTCATCAACTCCAGCTTGACCGCAGCGCTCTCTGCGTCAGAACTGCCCACTACTCCTCGTGGTCGCTCCGAAAACCAAAGTCTTGCCTCCTCACGCAACGTATCCCCGAGCAAGAGGCACATCAAGGATCCTCACGCAAGTCTTGACCTCTTTTCACCGAAGCCCGTTGATGAGAATGAGCCGACCTTGGGTCCAAATGCTGTGGCTCCCCGGGCATCAGCGAGACCCCCACCACGGGAGATGAGTGAGTTGTTCGCGGCAGGACATGAAGACCACGAACCAGGATCGCCAAAGAAAGTCCCCATCGAGCCTGTTGTGGCGCCCAAGAAGGGCAGCAACCAGAAGTTTGGCCCTCCCCGCCTCTTCGCCGATGACCCGAACGAGCCTGCTCCTGTCGGCTACAAGTCCAACCCTGCCAAGTACAATCATTTCAATCTCGGAGAAGAGCTGGAAGATGACCCGTTGCAGTATCGTGATGCTACTCCCAAGCCGAAGACAACGATGCAAGCAGTGCCAGTACGAGGGAAGTCCAACAGACAGCAATCTCAATGGGATTTTGCCGACTTCTTTACGCCCGAGAAGGTTACACAAAAGGTGCGAGATCAAGACATAGTCCACTTCAGCCTGGACAGTACCGTGAATGAGGTGGAGACCCCGGGCAAGAAGATCGCTGGCAAGCCACGCCGCGACAACGAGATCCACTTTGAACTACAGGACGACGGAACACCCATCGAGCGCCACGCTGTCCCAAAGCCTCGAAAAGATGCGGAAACACACTTTCAACTGAGAGACACTGCGACACCGGCCACCAATCGTACCTCAGATCGTCCAACCAGCTCGGCAAGTGATCGCATGGGACTATATTCAAATAATGTATTCGATGAGGACGAAAATGGCAAAGCGCAGGAAAAGCCTCCGCTCTCAACGATCACCAACAACACCAACCGCAAACATGATTTCGACAGCCACTGGACAATGGCTGATGCATCACCAGCCAATGGAAAGGCCAATAATGAAAACAAGCTTGCCAGCAAACACCGCAAGAAGCCATCGCAAATGGATACCCACTGGGATCCATACGAGGAGACGACTGACCAGCCACAAAACCCGCCTGCACAGAGTCGGTTGAGAAAGGGGATGGAGAGTCACTGGAGCATGGGAGACGAGGAGGAAAAGGCGGGGACCAATGGGAAAAGCAAGACTCAAAAGAGCTTCTGGGACTTTTGAGCATTCCGTGAAGCTCAAGCAGTAAACAGTGGACACAGAAGCTGAGGTGAGCGGAAAACAACGATATTGTCCTGATCGCGTCTGATATTGAACGACGATTAAATGAGAGATGTCTATAGCATCATTGCCACGGCCTTGTTGCAGACGGCAGCCAACAGACCCAAATAACTGAATACCAAAATGCCATCGTACTTTACTTGTATTATATGCATGCAACGGATGATCTGCTCCGGACGGTGCGTCTGCAGATTGACATCATCGTCCTTTTCGATGGGGTCGTGGGCTCACTGGGTCCAGGAACGGGTGAAGGATCTGGCGAGTAAACAACCACGACAACCTTGTAGATGCTGGTAAGAGATGGGGTGATGGCGCACTCGGAATTAAGGCGCCCTGGGCGTCTCCTTCTCCCCCTTCAATCGAGCACTGCGACATGACTTTGAGTTTCCACACATGCACACGGTTCCGTGTGCCGTGAGTCATCGACCAGCCTAGCCGGGGTGCTAGATCATGATTTACATGGCCGTCTGCATTTGGTGCTGATAAACTGCGCAGACTTATCCAAAAGCTTCGCCGGCAACATTGGCAGTGCAGTTCCTTTGCATCGGTCAAATCGAGTCGCTTACCATCCCCAAGGTTCTCGCAGCTCACTAGCCTGCTTTCACTTTTCTATTCATTCGTGGCAATTTCTCCTTCTTGCAACTCTCT